CACAGATCTATTTCCCCAGATCCTTGAGATGGTAAACAGCTTGTTACAGCTGTATTAATTCCAAGGAACTTGGGCTTCTAAAATATCCTAGCAAAGTGCTTGGCAAAACACTCACTTCTTAGGGTGGCCAGGCCCCGTGGAGTGACTCCTGAATATGGTAACATAAATATAGCATTTACACTAATTTTAGAAATTACATATAATTTGAACATTTAAATCCATTTTACCTTTTCAGAGTAACATGTGCCAGGTGGTCTTTTAATAAAATAAAATGAATTCGAATTTGAATTCTCAAATCTGCTTGGTTTCATATAAAGCAGAAAGACTATGAATGAAAATGTGATCACTTCCTGCAGCAATTTATCTATCTGTGAGACTTTTCTGCTGTCCTCTTTGATCAAAACAGTTGGAGGCCTGGTGGTTAAGGCAGCTGGATCCCACATGGCTGGCTGACTGCGTCGTTCAAGTCTTGGACCTGGCAGCTTAGAAAACACACTGGTGAGGGGACCAGCAATTAGCATAATGGCTATGTCTCTGGACTCCCACATAGTCGACCGCGGTTCGAGTCCCGGACCTGGCAGCTTAAACTCACACTGGGGATGTGTGCGTGCATGCCCAAGATCCCAAGAGGAGAAAGGAGGAGAAGGAATTGCAGTGTGGTCATCCCCCCTGGGGGGTGATTTCTCACTTTCTATCTCACTGTCTCTGTCTCTCTGGCAAGCACATGAGCCCTATAGCAATTCCGGGGGGGGGGGGAGGGGGAAGAAAGCACACTGACTGCATGTGCATGTGTGTCCAGGATCCTGAGAAGAGAATGGAGGAAAAAGGATTTGGGGGTAGCCATTCCCCTTGAGGAGATGTTGCTTACTCACTTTACCACTCTTCCCCCTACCCCACTGTAAGCCCACATGTGCTATTGCAAACTAAAAAACTATTAAAAATAAATAAACAGGAGCCAGCAGGTGGTATGGCGGTTAAGGCACTGACTCTCATATGGCTGACTTCACCGAGTCCAGGACCTGGCAGCTTGAAAATCACACCAGGCATGTGTGTATGCATGTGTGTGTGCCCAAAATCCCGACAGGAGAATAGAGAAGGGATTGTGGTGTGGCCATCCTCCCCAGGATGATTCCTCTCTCTCTCTCTCTCAAGTGCATATGCCCTTTAGCAATAGAAAGAGAGAGAGATGATAGAGAGATAGACAGAGAGGTAGACAGCTTGTCACCAGGTACATGCATGAGTGCCCAAGATCTGACGCATTGGAGGACTGGAGGAAGGGGTTACAGTGTAACCAGAGGGTGCTCATCTCTCTCTCTTTCTCAAGCATGTACACGTGCTTTACCACGAACGAAGAGGAAAATACTTAACATTTAGAGTTTGGAGTTCTATTGGGCTTCCAACAGTACATTAGAATTTTAATAGTGCTCTGTGATCAAATACATTGGGGAAACAGATGTAGTGTATTACGGGCCACAAAAGGGGAGTGTTTTGCTTTTTTGTTTTATGGGTTTTTTTTGAGAGGTTTTTGCTATGGGCATGTGCGCTTGTCAGAAGGACAGAGAGACAGAGAGACAGAAAGTGAGAAATCACCCCCCAAGTTGGATGGCCATGAGGCAATCCCTCCTCTATTCTCCTCTCCGGATCTGGGGCATGCACACACACGCACCCGGTGTGAGTTTAAGACACCAGGTCCAGGACTTGAACTGTGGTCGACTACATAGGAGTCCAGCTACATAGCCATTACGCCAACTGCTGGTCCCGAGAAGAGTGGTTTTTAAAGGAGAGTATACAGTAGTATCATCCTATAAATGTCTGGAAGAATGAAAAGCAAAGCAGCCAATGTCGGGGACTCTGAATTTACACAACATTTGCAGAATTTTAAAGCAACTAAAAACAAAATGTATGGACATGCCCTGTAGCCTATTGATTAAGGGAGCCAAATCACACCTGGCTGACTGCAGTTCGTATTACAATCCTAGTGGCTTGCAAAATATGTTGGGTGTTTGTATGTGCATGCCAAAAATCCAGACAAGATGGAGAAATGAAGGAGGAATTACAGCATGACCACACTCCACTGGGAGGTGCTTTCTCCTCCCACCCCCATGTCTCTGCCAAATGTATGTGCTCTCTAGAAATTGAAAACAAAAGATTATGCAGTCCCCAAAGATGGAAAATAAAATAAATGTAGAAGATTAAATTTTCCTTCACCAAAACTGTGGTGTCGTGGCAAGGATACCATTAAAGATAATGTATAGTAAATTAAAGCTATATAGGCACTAAGAGCATATAAATCTTGCACAAACACATTCAAGAATTTTAATTACCTGTAGGGTAGAAGAATAAAGAGCTTACAGTTGAAGGATGTAGGTTTTTTAAAAGAATTACTTATTTTGTTTTACTTATTATTATGATTTTATTTGTTATAGGGCACCAGAGAGAGAAAGAGAGGGAAAGTGAGAAAGCAAGCCACCAGGTCTGGGACTCAAACTATGGTCTGCCATGTGACAGTCCAGTGCCTTAACCACCATGCCTCCTGCTGGCCCCAGAAATTAGGTTTTGAACAGGTTCCAATTCTTACTAGTAGCAGAGATTTTCAACAAGTTTCTTAACTGATTGCAGTGAAAAGCAAATGAGTTTACATATGTAAATCTTTTTTGCTCTTGTTTTGTTTTTGTTTTTCTTTTTGGTTTTTGCTATAGGCCATGTGTGTTCACTGGAGAGACAGTGAGTGACAGAGAGACAGAAAGCAAGAAATCACTCTCCAGCGGGGATGGCCATGATGCAATCCCTTCTCCGTTCTCACGGGATTTGAAGTGCGCATGCACACACACATGCCCAAGCATGACTTTTAAGCAGTCGAATACATGGGAGTCCAGCGACATGGTCCCCACATGTAAATTTTATCAACATAACCAGGTACCTGCTATGAATTCATGGTATGAATTTACCAATGTTGTGAGCACTGGATAAAAAAGGGGAGAGAGTAGAGGCATTAATAACTGGAATGCTTACTTCCGGAGCATTTGAGATGAGTGAAGCACTGTACTATAGGCTTTCCGTGCCTTCTTGCATGAAGGCCTCACACCTACTCAATGTGGTAAATAGTAAATTAGGCGAAACCAGGGGGACTTTCTATTTCTGCAGATGAAAAATCGTCAATTATCACATGATTCAACCTACCATCTTCCAGGTTGGGAGAAGGTGAAACAGACTTGTGTAAGATAGCATAGCCAGCACCTGACAATCAGGTTTATAAGCCACAGAGGGCTGATGTCAGGGCCAACATTCTCCACTAATATATAGGGTTATCGGAAAAGTCATTATGCACTTTTGTATAGAAAAACAGAAAAATATGTCATGACTTTTCCAATGACCCAATATTACATAAATTCCCAGCGAGGCTGCAGTCTAATAGTTTAGAAAGCTTTAATCAAGTATTAATTTTCAGAGTATTAGAGAACATACAAAAAAAAAAGGCAAAGAAATGATGCCACAGCAAATTCAGTTTCTGAAACAAATGTTTACATTAATTAAAGTAGCCCGTGTTCGTTCTTGTTTCTGAGATTACCCTTCTCTTTAATGAACTCGTACCATCATTGCTTCAGCCAGCAAATATTTACTCAACGTCAGGTTCAGTTTCTAATCTCCTAGAAGGATCTTTTTTTCCCTTCCTTGGTCTAATTTTTACCAATTTACAAACTAGAATTAATTTCTTTCCAATAATTTTAGTACCCCCTTATAAGAATCCCATTTTGGGGACCAGCAGACCCAGTTGTGGTTGAGGTGCTGGACTTTCACATGGCCAACTGCAGTTGGAGTCCTGGATCTGAAAGATTTTTCTCTCTCTCTTTTCCTGTAGCAAATTGAAGAATGATAAATAAAATTAAAGAATCCTTTTTAAAAAAATTCTTATTTTGGTTTTTAATATAGAATTTCCCCAACAATAGTGAAGGTTTCCTAGGAAAAATTTGATAAATGTTCAGTTTGATGTTAACGTCTAATCTGCCACATGTGAAATTTAATAGGGATAAAGAATCACAACCACCTCTAAGGGGCTGGGGTGATAGAGCCACTTCTGATCTGACCTGTAAGAGTGTTTGCTTAAATCCCAACTCACTGGAAACTATCTGTCAGATGGCACTGTTATATTTTTTTTTATTATTTAGTGTTTCCTATGCTTAGGCCTTGTCTCCGGAACGACTTGACGCTTCTCAGGGGGCGACGATTAAGTCTTACTCTGACTTCACAGGCTGCTAGCAAATATCATGGATCCATAGACCTTTAATAGGCAGGAAGAAAAGTGATCAGCGTGGAAGAAGGCCCTCGAAGGCAGCAAAGCAAAGCGGCCCTCTGCCGCTTGTGCATTAACACCTGCTCCTAAGAACGAACAGCAGGTCCTGTGTCAAAGCCTCGGTGGCCATTCTGGTTGGCCATTTAAAGAGGTATGAGAGGAAGTCAGCAGCTCGACCGCCATTGGCTGAGACG